ATTTTACCCTGTTCAAACCATCCTACAGAGTATTTGTAATTAAATGTTTACAATGTAATAAAACTCCAGAACCTTATTTCAACAAAAGACAGAGTGTGTAGTCGGACAAACTCACCTCCGGTTTTCACACTAGTCATACGCTAAAACACAAGAGTGACTTCTGCCACCTTTATTTAACTTTATTTAACAAAAACATTCTGGTTCTTTGTCAGGTTCTGCTGGGCTTACATTTACAATGAAACCATTGTAAGGGTGGATTTCCTACAGTGGTTCAGGCTGCAGGACTGCCCAATAACTAAAGAAACTTTATCAGCAAGATGGTAGAAAACTGTACATTTCTTGTCTATTACCACCCACTGCTACTTATACCAACGACGGAAATAAGCGCAGTTACAATAGCTAAATATGTGGGAGAGCATTGCTCTCTGACAATATGGTCATGGTTACACTTAAAATAGTTACAAAATAGATGTATGAGATGATAAAAACATGCCATTAATCCTACCCAGCATATATGTAAAATGTTACCTGAGGGATAGAGAGAGAGAGAGAGAGAGAGAGAGAGAGGGGCTTTAGAAAAATCAGATAGAAAGAGCCAGAGCAAAGAAGAGCCAGCAAAAAGACTGAAAAAAAAATGTGTTTGTGTGTGTGTGTGTGTGTGGGCGTACGTGTGTGAATGAGACTATTGTTTTTAAGACATTATTATTATTATTATTACTTTGGTTGGTTTTTTGTTAGAGACTTGTGCCCTGTGTGTTGTAATTTGTCCGGAATGTGTCTAAATAGTTTGTTCTGTTTGTCTTGTCTATTGTATCTTGTCTTGTGTGTTAAAAAGAAAAGAAAGAAAAGAGTGTTGTAGGTATAAAGTGAAGGGGAATGTGCATTGAGGTGGTGGTTCTTTCATGCGTGTTTTTTTTTTTTGTTTTGTTTTTTTCTATTGCATAGAGGATATTGGTTAATACTGGGATGGACTTGGATGGAAACCAGGTGTCCAGGTTGTTTGTCTCTGTTTTTCTTTGTACTTGCAAAATAAAAAAACAATTCTATAAAAAAAAAAAGCCCCAGCGAAAAGAAGAGCCAGAGAATAAAAGAGACGAGCAACAGATCCAATATTCTTTTATCCCCTCCTTGACCATGTGACTGTAACCCAAATGTGAGACATTAGAAGACACCTGATGTACACACATCTTGGCCTACAGGCCTTGAGCACTATCAACACCTCTGCCTTTAGGAATTCTAAATGGTCCTTGGGGTAGAAAGAGGGGGGTTGAAACAGTAAAAGCAATTGTCTTTGTTCACTTTCAAATATCTTTGAATATTTTCAACCTTACACCATTGTCTCCTCACCCGTTGTGATACACTTTTATATTTTTGGAATTGTGTTAAAGCAGCACTAAGTAGGATTTCCGTTTTTGTCAAACAGCGACCCCTAGAGTCGCTGTGGAGTACTTGTACTGTCGTGAATAGCACTCACGCAGAGATGGCTCGCACTCACGGCCGGATCCCCTCCCCCTGTACACCGGTACCTGTTCAGTAGGATGGACGCTGTAACGAGTGGAAATAAGGTATGGCCCCTTTAAGAGCTGCGCGCGCCCTGTTTAGCTGTCGGCAGTCTGTATTGTATGTGCGCCTCGAACACCACATGTATACAGCGCCGGGTTATTTCTGTTTGATGCTCATTTTATCAGAATTTTATCAGATCTGTTTTTTGCCGTAAAGCAATTCGTTACCTCGCGAGACCTGATATCACACGATACTTCCTAACACTGACGCCGGCGGCCCGCCGGCCCAAAGTTGCAAGGGTGGTTTTGCGGCTCACAGGCACCAGGGGGGTGCGAGACGACCACCATTCAACACGAAATCAGTAATATATACATTACAATGACTCCAAAGCTGTTCGGTTAAGGTAAAAAAGTTACTTAGTTCACCTTTAAAGGAACAACATCTGTCTTGTGCCCATGCACACAAAATGAATTAACACTGCCTGCATCAAATGAGTCATCCTCGCACTTATTCAATAATGGGAACGACCCGATGATCTTAACAGAGTGCTAGAAAAACCTCTTCAAGGTACACAGAAGGTTTGAAATGTTCAGGCAGAGGCAGTCTGCAATTTGCAGCACTGAAATCTGGAGCCCAGAAATGATTTGTTAATAGTTTGGCCAAAAATTTTAATTCTGTTATAATTTTGTCATGTCACTTCAAACTTTGATTTTCTACAAGCTGACTTTTTCAACTTTGTGATTAAATTTTTCCGCCATTAAAGTCAGTATGAAATGAAAATTCACATTATTTTCTTAATGCTTGTTATAACTTATTGGTCTTATTGTGAACAATTCATCCATGCATGTGTCAATTTTAAAAATCTCTTTGGCCTAAACATTTTTCATTAAAAGCTCAACTCGGTCTTCCTGTGAAACTATCTCTACATCTTTCTTACAATCGATTGCAAACTTGCATTTAGATCTGCCTCCATCCAATGAACAATTGACAAATAGAACCAACTACAGTTTTTTTTCAACAATTTGTTTCACTCGAATGTATGTTACAATACGAAAGAAAAGTTATGTCACTAGTTTCATTACATTGTGTCTTTAACAGCTGTCTGGAGGGAAACTTATCTTTGAATGACAACTTACATTTCAGTCTGTTACTCATGACCACTTTCAGAAGACATAACCCTAATACAATTTAATTATTTTTAAAGCTTGAAAGTCTCAGTAACCATTTATTGTGACTGCATGAAAAAGAGAAACCAGGAAATTCTAAAAAATGTTTTTTTTTTGCGAACTATGTGAAGTGCAGAGACACTGAATACAGAGTCTGTCTCTGCATTCATGACAGCTGTTTTAACAGAGAACTGCACCAGACAGCCTCAGTGAACTCCTCTTTCCCACCTACGCTCCATCAGGACTTCAGAGAACCGAAGATGTCACACACAGTCAGACACACAAACACGCTCCTAGATTCTAGTTCTAATGAAGAATGAAAGTTTTTATGACGTCTTTTTTTGACATGTTCTGCACGTCTGATATAGACGTTCATCGAACCTTCGTACAAGTTTAAAAACTAGTTCAAATGTGGCCATTGTGGACACATTTTCAACATCATTTATGGTCTCATTTAGACAAGTTATACTGTTTCTGGACCAAATAAACACTCAGGATGCATTATATTAAAACTCATGTTTATTTCAATGTAATTTCCTTACATTGTGTAGAAGTTATTTGTTTCATTTTAAATCACCATTGTGGTGATCAGTGTTTGCTTTAATTGGGCTCTTGGTCCCAGTACTTCTTACTTTAGCTTTTCTAACCATAACAAATCACCTATTAGAGTAGCTAAATGAGGGGTGGTTGGGGCTTTGCAGATTTTTTTTACTCTCTGAAATTTTCCATGTTGCCTCAATCATATTGCCAGTCATTTTACTGTTTATCCAGTTAATCCATGATGCTCCTTCTATGATTTAGTGAATTGCTGCAAATTCCATTGAAATTCACCTATGAAACTCTTAAAGGGATAGCTCTCACAAAAATGAAAATTCTGTTATTATTTACTCACCCTCTGTTAGATTATTTTCTTCATTCATAGGCGTAATAGGGTATGTCCCCACCACTTTTTGCCAGGGTCGATATTGTCACCACCACTTTTTGAAACAACTCACGGCACAGATGTACCTATACCTAATATGAATAAAACATCTCCAGTTACCTAGCAGAGCATTAATTTTTTTCGTTTGTTAAATAAGAGGTGATCTGGTGCTGGAATGTGTTGTTTTTTTAAATCAAGCTGATTGCGCCGCTGTTATCAGTGGCGTGGATGCAATGTTCTCTTGTGGCTCGTGCACAGTCTTCACACTCAGACGAGCGCATTGGCCGTTGTGGAGACTCTTTATTCTTTCCAGTGAAATCACAAAACAAAACTGCACACAAATGTGTCCCTGCTCTTGATATACAATCATTGATTAACATATTCGGTTTTGATGAAAAAAAACAAAAACAAAACGATACGTGGGCGGATTAGAACCTCTGACATGGTTAAAGGTATAGTCCACCCAAAAATAATAATTCTGATATTAATTATTTACCCTCATGTCTTTCCAATCCCGTAAAACTTTCGTTGGGGAGTTCGAAAGCTATCAGATTTCATCAAAAAGATTTTCATTTGTGTTCCAAAGATGAAAGTCTTACAGGTTTGGAACGACATGAGGGTGAGTAATTAATGACCAAATTTTCATTTTTGGGTGGACTATCCCTTTAACAAAAGCTCTACCACTAGACCATTAGGGTACACAAGCACATTTTATGGATCTATGAATTTATTCACATGAAAAATCTCTGCACTAACGATATATTGTATTAAAGGTAGATGTAATGATGAAACTATCTCATTAAACATGAGTTCTATGTCGATTAATTACACCCAATGTACTATTGAAATTGATTTCTAGACATTGTCAGTGGTAAGGGGTGATTTGCCTCTTATCTCATTATCTCATAATGACATTTGTCTCTCCCATACATTACATTTTTTGTCCCTTCATTAAAAACCGCAACTCGCCCCTGCGGTAAAAACTGGTCCAGACCAGATAACAAAGTCTTTTTTCCATTTTGTATCTTTCCGTTGAACTTGTACCCTTCCTAATGAACTAATGTATACATTATGATGAAATATCTCTTTTCTGTGTGGGTTGTGACACCTGTCACATTCCGTTGGGTATATGGCGACTATACTATATTGTGTCTTAAGAGCTTAACTGTGAGCCCAAGTATATTTACACCCACCAAACTTGTATGACTGTCTTTTTTCTGTGGAGCACAAAATAATATATTTTGAAGAGATTTTGTATGTCAACAAAAATCTATGGAGTCAAATGTTGTTTTGGACTTTGTTGACTTTCATTCTATCCATGTACAAAAGACCCAGAGAATGAATCACTTAAAATGATCATTATATGTACACAAAAGTGATCTGCTACCTCTGTTCTATCTCTGTTGCAGTACTTACACGAGAATGGAGTTGTTCACAGAGACCTCAAACCAGAAAATCTCCTCTATGCTGACTTGTCAATAGACGCACCTCTTAAGATAGGTAACAAACTGTATACTCATACATTTAATCCATTATCTCTTTGATGTGGGAGATATGAGACGGAACAGTGTACTCTGTCAGTAATGAATGGGTTTTTATTGATCCAATCTTTTCTGTAATGTCCACAGCGGACTTTGGCCTTTCTAAAATAATTGATGAGCAAGTGACAATGAAGACAGTATGTGGTACCCCTGGCTACTGCGGTGAGTCTGAATTTAAGATAGCATATTATTTAAGTTATGATTTATTTCGTTATTTTTTAGATAAACACATACCTCTAAAATAAACCATTTAGATATCCACAAGTAAGCGAATTCCAGTAAATGACTTATAAAGTTTTATAAGCCAATTCATTTGCAATAATTTGCCTCTATTATCACATCCACTCAGCTCCTGAGATCCTCAGAGGAAACGCTTATGGCCCTGAGGTCGACATGTGGTCAGTGGGAGTCATCCTTTATATTTTGTGAGTAATACATTTACATTAATCTAATAAAATTACTTTTATCTGACTTGCAAGTATATGGAAAAATGTAAACACAAGTGCTTAATCATATGAAGTTTTTTTAACACTTTAGTGGCATATGAAAAGTGATAATGTCAATATATAATATACTTTTTCAAAAAACAACTATGTGATAATTATTCAACCCCTATTCAACATTGCTGTTTTTAAATTACTTAATTGTAGGGTATAAAATTTTGTTAAAACACAATTAAACCTTTGGAAACACTATAACAGCACTTTAGTTGTGACACATGCATATATTTAGCTCATGCTAATGCTAAGAGAAGAAGGATATGGCTAAGGGGAATAGGATGTTTGTTAATAGTAGCTTACCCTAAAAACCCTCAATAATCTGCTCAAGAGTTACAAGATGTTGAATGGAGGAAAAAAAAAACATTTCAATGCAGACTATAAGAAGAACACTAAAGACTATTAGAACATTACTTCATGCCCGGACACCTCGACGAACGCCACTCTTGACCAGGAGAACAGGTTGACTTGAATATGCTAAAAATAATTTGATTAGGCCTATGGAGTTTTAGAAACATTTTTTTGTAGTGATGTGACCAGACATTTTGGCAAAGATGATAAAGCCTTCATTGTGTAAACTGAAGTTTCACTGGATCATTGGACTTTCCAGCAGGACAATGATCCCAAGTATACACCCAAATCTACCAAAGCATGGTTTAGGGATTGGTCTTGGAATGTTCTTGAGTGACCTGCTCAGTCTGCCCCTTGAAAAGCTTTGGTGAGATTTGAAAAACAAAACAAAAAATATGAGTGAGTTGGAAGCTTTTGCACACAAGGAATGGCCTAAGATTCCAGTAGAGAATGTAAACACTTTACAGGTAACGTTTATTTGTCATTAAAAAGAGTAAATGATTCTCTACCAAATTTGACTTTTGGGGGTTGATTGATTTTGTATCTAGATGATTAGAGCCACTTTGATGTTTTATTTTTCATTTGAACTCAGTACAAAACTTTACATTCTCAGAATCTCTCAAATATGTATTAAAGGGGTCCTATAATGCCCCTTTTTACAAGATGTAAAATAAGTCTCTGATGTCCCCAGAGTGTGTATGTGAAGTTTTAGCTCAAAATATCCAACAGATAGTTTTTTTTATAGCATATTAAAATTGTCACTTTTTGAGGGTGAGCAAAAACTAGCCATTTTTGTGTGTGTCCCTTTAAATGCAAATGAGCTGGCCCCCTTTCAAGAAGAGAGCGGAGCTTCAGGAGTTAGTGTCAGCAGCTCTGATTACCTCACGGAGACAGGCACTCAAAATGTCAGAAACTGTTCAGCCTTTTATTTTGAAACCTGAGCCGGACAATGATGGAGAGACTCAAGAAGAAGTGACAACACGTGGAATGCAACAGGACGTTTCTGAATGGTTAGTTGATGAATTTATGTAGCTGATGTGGAGTTAACTATCTTCAAGTCATTGATTAGCATAATTCTGTCATGATAATCTATAAATCGCTCGTGTGGGAACTGTTGTAAAATGCCTACAGAGCCAGAGAATATGCTTCATGAAGATAGAACAGGTATAGTTTAGTTTAATTACGGTTATAGCTGATGGTGTCATCTTGCTTTTATGACATGCTATTGCATTTGCGTTACATACTGTATTGCAATAAATGTGAAAAGACGGATGCGACAGCTTGAGCCGACTCCCAAATGTGCTCTACTACAACAACTCTTCATCTTCTCATCATGGCCTCATTCCCTTTGTTGCGTGTTTCCAGTGGCAAGGTTTATGTAAATTTTAGGGTTAGTGATGTCACTAACTTGGGAAGAAGCTCATTGTAGTCCCTACCAGCCATTTGTTGTAGTCCTTAAACAGCGATTTCTTTAAAAGAAAATATCTCTCTTTGCTTTGAACTGTGAGCGTCGTAACTTTGCAGATGTTGTTTATGATCAAACAGCAACATTACACACTAACTAAAGTTAAAAAAAGTGAAATCATAATCAACCACCCCTTTAATAAACCTTCTATGATGGTTTGCTGATGTTAAGAAAACAACTTAAGAAATCCAGAATGCCTTGCAGGTCAGGGGGATTCAATAATTCCATACTCATGTTATCCCCCTGACCTATAAGACATTCTGGATTTCTTAAGTTGTTTTCTTAAGATTTCTTAAGTGCCAGTTGTTCACCTCACCTATACAGGACATGTAACAAAGAATACTAGCGCACATAAACAACTTCTTCAAGCTTGGAGTTGGTCGAGCTCTTGGTCTAAACAGGAAACTTTCCCAAAACATACTGATAGCATGTTCTTTCTTTCAGTAAGAGGTGCAGATAATATTTGTCATTATTCTCTAGTGTTTGAAGATGAAGAAAATGCTTTAAATAAGAAATTGTTCATGTAAGCGTAAGGCTGAAGTGACCCCAATGACCTCGGATGTCTTGTTCAGTGTTGGGTGCCTCTCTCAAAAACATGGAGAGAGCACGTTCCAGTAAACAAACAATTATATGATTAAGTAAAATCTCATAAGCTTGAAGAAGTCATACAAATAATTTAATATGTAGAAGGCTAAATATTGATTATTGAATATTACCTTGATTATAATCACTCATCAGATATACATTGAAGCGGCAGTGGATTCCGGAAATCTGACCCTTCACAGCGATTTGTAGCAAATTAGCTCAAAAGGGAGATATGTATAATTAATTACAATGGATTATAAGTAATTATAAATATTTAGATTCGTTTTAGAATGGACTGTAGCAGAATTAATATTACAATCATTTAATCAGTTCGACCACCGAACAGACAGTTACCATCAGTTATCAATTCTAGGAGATAAATTATCTTCCTGGCCAAGAAAGAATAACTTTTTCCTACTGTATACAGTACTAGCAGTGTGAGAGCATGTAGCAAAATCAAACATTTAAGTGACTGATCTGTGAGCCGCAAACACAGAGACAAGCGTGAATATTGTGGGTTTAATATATGAAACTACGGGAGGCTATTCTGGAGGCTATATAAGAGAGGTGGGAGATTATATACAGAATAAAGAAAGTAAAGAGAGAGAGAGAAGAGCAAAGAATGGTAAGATTTACAATCAGTTAACCACAGCCCATGAGAACCATCAAAGAATCGGAATCACCTTTAAAGTAGGCAAAGACTTAGAAACGGATCTAAAGGCTGCAAACCGGTTACTTGCATTTTGGTTGCAGAACAAGTCTAGATGCGGTAGATTCTGGAGATTCTTGATGATTTTGCTAGGAGTGTGCTGAAGGGTTCACTGGGTGCTCCATGTTGTATCCAACAAAGTCAACTTGTTGCCAGGAAAAGTCAGGAAGCATGGTGTCTCAAAGAAATTGAGCAAAGATGTTCTATGTAGGGAGCTCTTAAAGCCTTATCAGTCACACCTCTCCTGTGCTGTCTTTGAAGCTTGAGGAGAGCTCCAGACACTGTCTGCGCTAGGGTAGACCAGGGGAGCAGACGATAACCGCATTTGAAGAGAAGTTGGGCCGGGGGCCGGGGCCAGTGATCAAGTTTTTATGACGCCTCAAGCCTTTGACCACATTCATATGCTACAAACCCTACTCGATCACTCCCCCCCTCCCCCTCCCCCTCCCCCCTTTATTTTTTTTTTAACATAGCACTCAGATACGTGTGTGGCTTTTTTAAAATACAGTTCCACTTTGCCCCCAGTTCCTCAGAGCGAGAGTTAGCTTTAAGCACACTTTTTCTTTCTCTCCTCGTTCCTAGAAAGGGCACAGATAAACTCGGAGGAGCTGAAAGGAATAAAAAGGGTGCAAGGGCTTAAAGGGACACTTCACCCATTTGCATTAAGCTTTGTATTGTTAGAAACCCAGTCATATATTATAATGATCGTGGATTTTTCCTTTATCTTTCCCTGAGATGGGAGAAATAAGGATTTAAGTGTTTTACTTCCTGCTTATTATGACGTAAAAATCGTAATTTTGCGTCATAATAAGCAGGAAGTCACATTTCATTGAAAAGTGTAGAGACTACAAACACAAGCTCATCATTTATTCAGGGTGTGGGACCCACTCACGCTACAGACCTATTACAGATCAGTGGGTGGGACTTCACTTGCCGATACAGAAAGCAATATCCGCCATCTTGTTTGGAAGCTAAGCTAACAAGCGCTGTGGAGATAGGAAGTTACGACAATGACGGAAGAAACTAAACATGATATGGAAGAAGAGGATTTTGAAATTCTGCTGCTCGAATCCGATGTTCGTGGCTATCTTTACGAGCCGCAATATAGTGAAGAGCAGCTGAGGCTGATGGAGGAACAGGAGGCGGCTGTCTGTCGCGGACGAGGAGCCCGGACTGGCTCGAGCTGGGCGGACTGCTGGTGCCTGTGCTCTCGCTGTGCGCTACGGACACAGATAGAGTCCGTCTGCTGCAGAGAATTTCAACGATGGCAATTTCTCCTGGGCGAAATCTCTGAATCAGACGAGCACACGGACGTTTGTGTTGTGATGTGAACCATCCTAGTTTCGCACCGCATATGTTCTGACTGAACATCCAGGTATCATGCAATAATTCACCATATAGAAAGAAATACAAACGAGGAGTAATTCACTAATGAGTTTGCCAATGTAACGGGGTTCGTTGTTGTGGGAAGAATGAGGCGGGAACCGGCAAACATTTAAACATTTTAATAGTAAAATTAACAAATACAAAACAAAAGTATAAGCCAGCAGCCACACACGACAGAAACAAAACACAACATAAAATCAGGCCTGTTCCTCTCTTGATCTGCCCTGTCGTCGCTCCTCCTTTTATGCTTCCGCTCCTCGGTGAGAGATGCGAGAGAGACCGGCGCATCTCACAGGTGTCGTTCATTATCACCCACGCCACCGGCCTCGCGCCGCCCTCACGTCCCTCGCCCTCTTCCTGCTCGCCACAGCCAACTAATTATAAATTTTGTGTGAAATGAATTTCTAACTCTGGTGGCAGCTAACGTTAGCC